CGCTCTAAGCAGCGGTACAATATTGTTGTAGGGCAACTGAGGAATCTCCAGTGTGCTGTAACAAATGATGACCTCGATGTTCCCGAAACTGTTCCTCCTAAACAAGGCTTAACTATGGCGGAAAAGGTTGTCATCGGCGTCACTAGTCTAATATGGGTTCCAGTTTCCCTAGTTACGCTGTTGATTGGCGCCCCTGTGATCGGCATACTTGCGATTAAAAACAAACTGAAAAATAGAAGTAAGATCAAGAAATACGAAAGAGACAAATGTGCTTTTATGGCTGAAGCATCCGCAGACTACCTCGATGATGCAACAAACGAAAGCGAGCTCAAGGTGTTCGTGGAGAACCAAGTGAATGAGGCTAAGCTGTGTCTGGAACAAATTGAAGCCCGTATTTCCGAGCTGATCGAGGCTGACAAGATGTTATGTAAAGAACTCGGTGATGTAAGGCTTTCACAGATAGAGATACAAAAATTGTACCAACCAATCGTGGATGAAGCTTCTGATATCAGGGGACATCTGGCGGCATTTGCATTAAATGGCATCCGTGCCATTGACATCAGCAGCGAGGAGTTAGACTGGAAAGAAGAGAGTTCTTCACGTCTTGGATTTGGTGTGTTTGCCACTGTGTACCAAGGGAAGATGAAAAGACAAGGGAACGAGCAGACTGTAGAATTAAAGGTTTGCAACGTAGCGCTTGATTCCAAAAATGCAAGCCTTATCATGGAAGAGGTAGAACTTTTGAGGTAAGGGATTCTTGAGTTTCCCGAACTTCGTCCTTCATGCATGTAAGAACTAATTGAACTACGAGTGGAGAAAGGTTTATCTGGTATTTCAGGGCTCATTAAAAAGGAGATACTTTGTAGAATGATCTTGTGAATTGCCGCAGCAACGCAGCATAACTTTTTCCTTAACCTGGGGTGTTTTTTCCACTTATTCAGTCTTGTCGACTCTATTTATGAAATTCAGAGTACTTCGGTTCCTACTCAGATGTGTGTGGTAGACGATCGATGTACTAAGGGGCGTAAGATAAGAAGGAAATGAATGTAACATAACCTGGAAGCTTAAATAGAGCAAATTTTGCATTAATTTTATGTATATTGCGTGTTTTTCATTCTCTTGATCAGAAAATTGGACCATCCTCACATTGTAAAGTTTTATGGCACATCCCTTCTCAAGAAAGAGGACACCACAAGAGTGATCTTGGTAATGGAAAAGTGTAAAGGAGACTTGAAGAGTAAGATCCTCGATCACCCAGAAGCAACGCCAGCAAAAACCACGAATCCTGACGTCTTTAGAGAAGTATGTCGATGGGCGAGAGAGATCACTGATGCTCTTACGTTCATGCACAATGAGGGACGTGTTTACAGGGACCTCAAGCTAGAGAACATATTGGTATGAGGCTGAAGTTTTTGTGTTAAGCCAATTTAAAATTACTGACCTAAATATTGCTGAAAATCTTATTCTGATTTTCTGTAAACTGAATTTGTTTTCGAGTTTGAAAGGGCAAAAACGCCATGAAACCTAACTAAAATTCGATAATGAGTTGAATTCTTTCTGGTTTTGAGAACGGAGTTGTACATACACGAGGACTCTTGGACACTTTCTCTCAGCAGAACTATGTAGTGGGCAGTGGGCAGTGGAAAATACCAAATGGGAAACTAAAAATTGGAACTTCTGGTCAGCTCTTAACCAAATCCCCATTTTCCATTTCTCTTATAGATACCCATGTATATTTTCACTATATTGGAAACAAATGCAGGGCTTAAAACGTTTCACCTGGCAATCTCCCATGTAGTTGAAATTAATTGAGTTAAAGAAAATATAATTGTTAACTTAACTGTCGTCCGTATAGTTTTCAAATCCACACTCTTTCAAACATTTTCATTAGATCCCGAAAGTATAAAACAATGAACTATCTTTGTAGGTGTTCCTTTAAAGAAACTGTTTAATTTGCGAAGTATAATGAAAATGTATGTGCTCCTTGGTTTACATTTAAGCTATCAGAAGACAACTTAGTGAAGATAACTGATGTTGGAGTTTCTAAAGAAGTGAAGGACGTCACGGGTAGTTTGCAGGAGACCTTTGTGTACATCGCACCGGAAGTATTTCATTCCAAGGTGTATGACAGCAAAGCAGACATATACAGCTTTGGTTTAATGCTGTGGGAGATGTGGTATGGGCAGCAGGCCTTTGCTGAATTCAAGGGCCCAATGGCACTTTTCTTCAGTCGGGTGGATGAAGGCTACCGTCCGAAAGATGTGGTAGGTAGCAAGAAGCCTCCGGCCCAATGGAAGCAATTGATGATCCGGTGCTGGGAGAGAAATCCAGAGCAACGTCCTTCCGCAAACGATTGCAATCAAGAACTCACTACACTGTTCCAGGACGTTGTTAGACCACTGTAATTTAGTCAATGGTTTGATCCATAGGACGTCCATGGAGCAGAAGATGCACTCGAAATGACTATAACTTTGATTTAGACCATTCTCTTCTTCCTGATTGAAGGAAATATAGGCGAAAATTTTTTCCTCCGGTCAAATACGATTAATAGACAATTCAGGAAAAACATGGATTTTGATTTCGGTTTCGTAGGCTTTCGTCTGATTAGGAATTAGCGATGAAACGTTTTTTTCTTTCTTGTATCAAAGAAAATTTAGAACATTAATAACTTTTGATACTGATGTAAGAGGCACAGGATAAATCTGTTTGTCAGTATACTCTTGAGCACCAAGTGCTTAGTATCAAGAACTATGCTACTCCTTCCTCTACCCCTATCTGGGGGAGTGCTTTACTTCATGTATACGATTTATAAGGATGCGTTATTGGGCATTTACTTTTGAATTGGGTGTTGCAGTGTTTGTTCGTATTTTATGAAAATCCTATTTGTTAGATAATCTGTAATCATTAATTATCACACCCTAAACCGCAGCCACGTGATAACACCTTTATATTTTTGTACATAGATTACTTTTGTTCAGTCCTATTAAAGCAGTTGTGTAGACCACATGTCCCGATTCATCGCCTACTCTATAGTAGTACTCCAAACCAGAATACACAACAGGTGTATAAATCCCTCCGCTTTGGTCTGGAACAAAGTGTGCTTTGGAAATCCGAAGGGAGAGACATGCAGCGAAATTTCAGTCAGCTCGCGATACAGATTTTTGTTTTTGAGCAGATGAACGCAGCAGAAAAACCATTACATATTCTAAAGAATAGAAAACTCCTTGTTAAAACTATATATAGTTTGAAATAGGTTGTTTGCTTGCCTATATCGAAGGTATATATGTTTAAAGCGTTTTTCCCAAATGTGCAGTTTACAATTAGTCGGGAAATATATGCTATGGTATAGAGAGTAAGGGTTTCCCGCGACACTTGCTGCCAACTGTGCCACGACCATTACATGACTGATCATTAAGTAAAATGGATCGGGCAAGGGTTAAAGATTTCATAGTGGTCACAGGCAAATTGGTCAAATCAATGATCCACTGTCTGCAGGTCACTGCTTTTTTAATGTTCCTCATGTCCTTACTGATCCTATATGTCAAAGCGTGTATCAAAAAAATATATCCAGTACATTTTACATTTCCCCCGTTTTTATACCTCCCTAAACTTAACGTCAAAAGTACCAGGTACCTTTGTCTTTGAGTGCTTGGAACCGCTACTAGATTCAAAAATCGTGTACGTCTAACCCGTTCATTGTTATCAACCGGCTGCAACCCTTCTAAACTGAATCTTTGCTTTGACCAGTCAACTTCCCTTCTTTGGAGCCGTCATGTAATCTGGTGCATAGGTCTACAATCAGGACGTGAGAGTTGACGAAAAGTAAATTTCCACCAGGGGTACTAAAAGGAGGTGAAAGACTAAATAGATGTTTCTTGTTGGCTGGAAAAACCAGCATTTTATTACACAGCGCTCTCACGTCGTTACATCTCACTGAATTTATTTAGGTATAGGAGAGTTGGTGGATCCCTTTAAGAGGGAGGGGAACAAAACAATAGACGACCCCCCTTCTCGATACTTATCTGAAGATGTGTGGAGTGAGAATGCTTTCCACTCTCTATGATCGTGTCCCACGGGTATTAAAGCTGAGCTCTGCAATTTACGCTTTCTTTTCGAGTATTGTGAATAACTGGTAATTAATGTTCCCCCTCCTGCTAGCGAACTTCCTCGGAATTGTTTGGTTTGATGTATGGGGGCATGAAATATTTATTCTCTGGCCCGAACACACTCTAATTTAGGTGAGGTGTCTCCGCATGAGGAGGTTGCCCAAGGAAGATCTTTGTCTTTGGTTTGTATTTTTACATTTGAAATTTGGAAAATTTGTTTGAATATTGTAATTTCAAGTATGAATTCTACAGATTGGTGACTGTTTTTTTTGTTAGTTTAGTTTAACTTAGGTAATTTGCTTTAACTTTGGCCTATTCTGAAACGGGAGCACTCTTCTACGTTGGATGGCGCCGTGCATTAAAGGTAGGAGCGCTGTTCCCTTTCAGAAATGGTCCAAGTTAAAATTAGTCAATTCTTGCTCAGTAAAGAATGTTTGTATGCACCGGTCGTTATGTCTAGAGCTGAGAAACGCAGGAAAATTAATACAACGAGCAGAACAAACTGGCAGACAAATTAAAGTTTGTTTATTAATATATTTATCAAACAGCGCAGCACTAAATTACACCATTATACACTTCATTGTGTTCCATTTATTCACAAATAACATACTCTATATCCGTGGTACGTTACACCATAGTGCATTATGCTGTACCACATTTCATTTTGACTTCTACTTTAATTTGCTTACGTTTTTCTTTAACTAACTACTTATTCTTATAGCTCCGTCAATTTCAAGAGTGATCATCTTCCCTGGTCATTCACTTATACACAAACAGCCAAAAACTAGCCATAAAAGTGGACGACATTCCGTATCGTCATGACGGAACTATATTTCTATGAAGGCTCATAATTTCTTCTTGAGCTGAGGCAAAATGATTATCAAAAGTGAAAAGTGAACTGATCAACATGACACGAGCGTGGGACAAAGGAAAATCTGCGTCCCCGACAGGAATTTAACCCATGGTCTCCCGAACACCGGGCGGGCACTCTATCCACTGAGCTACGAGAACTCATGGAGAAGAAGGTAATTTAACTGAGTTCATATGTGACAGGCAGGGCGCTTTTATGTAGGGCGGTGAAACGAGCGGGTCCGAGCTAAAAGGTGTGATGCAGTAGACTGGGGTCTACTAAAACGAGCAGATTCCGCTTACTTACACTGGAACTTAAATTTCTAAAGAAATTCCACGAAACTCCCTTCTATATGAAGAAGGAAGGCTTTTGGTGCACTTTTGTTCTGAGGCAATGGGAAAAGGTTGAACCTTACTTTTACTTTTACTTTTAGTTAAGTTTAACTATCAGCCTGTATGTTTATGTTCCAATTTTCTTGGAACAATTTTAGAAATAGCATGTACACGTCATCGCTTCTGCGTGCATTGCATGCCGTTTATTTACTATGTTATGTAAAAGCTATCGATCTTCAACATAGGTAAAATTTAGAGTGGAGTAATGTGGAGTACTCGTAAAAGAAGCAGCGGATCACGGCTTGGTCATGATAAGCGGGACATACCTGCATTCGACACTGTCTTACTTCACTCAAATTTGGGTAGCCTTCGACGAAACTACTTAAGCGGCATTACAACGGACATAAACGAATTGACTTTTGGGTCTAAAGCATAAAAAAAGGCTTTTGAAAATACACCACTGATGGCTCAAAAATAAAGAAAGAAAAGTTGGTTTCTGGTTCGTCGAGAGGAGATTTTTGGCAGCCATTGATCTCACCGGAAGCGCGGAAGAAGCGCTCGTGCCAGTCTTTCTCCGCATCACACATTGGACCAAGAGCGGACTGCCCGTTTCACCGCCCGGCCTTTTTCCNCAGCCATTGATCTCACCGGAAGCGCGGAAGAAGCGCTCGTGCCAGTCTTTCTCCGCATCACACATTGGACCAAGAGCGGACTGCCCGTTTCACCGCCCGGCCTTTTTCCGCCTTGGTGACAGCCGTCCTGCATATTGCTAGGATCAGCACTGTCGAAGCCGATAACGCAAACCTATCTCTGCAAATACAAGCTTAAGCCTATTTTATAACCTTATGATGCATTGAAATATCCGTGATCGTCAATATATAAGGTGGCTCACAAAGGTTTGTGGCATTTCTTAACACCTTTTCTTTAATTAATCACTGCTACCGCTCTTTTTTTCAGCTAATGCCGTATTAATGACTCAAAAATTTCCTATCATCGTTAAAAAATAATTTGGGTAATTTTTGGATTGCAAAATATCTCCATAGCTGCAGTTGTGTCGTCAGCAAACTGCAGTAGATTAGTTTCCACGCCGTTAATTTCTATTCCTCCTATGTTTTCCTGAGCTCTGACAGCAGTGGCCAAAATTTCGACTGCGATCAGAAAAAAGGTGCGGATGAAGCGGGTCTCCTTGTCGCGCTAAAAAGAGGGCTATCCATTTACTGGGAAAGCCAATATCATTAAGTCTATTTTATTCTCGAAAATGATTTATCCGAGCTCCATGCATTTTACCTGTTGAAATTGTAAAAGAATTTCAAACTAGCTTTAATATTTAATTTTTGATGGAATGGAAAAGACAAAGTTATTCGCCTCTCAACTTATCCACCTTATGAATTTGGTGGTCTTAAAATTATAGATTATTAAAGTACGTATGGTTAAATGAAGAAAATTCGAAATAATGTCTAAACCTTGTTTTTATCCTTACTATTATCTGAATGTGCTCTATTTGTATTAGGGACCGTTCATTTTTTATGAGGGAGGGGGGGGGGGGG